AGGTGCTCCAAATGCTTAATTGAAATCATTGTGCAGGCTTGCCGTGCCAAAGAGACGTTCCAGAAACACATCGATGGCGTCCTCCAGAAGATCAGCAAGCTTCGATCCTTGGCGGCGGACTTGCAGAAGAACTACGCACCAGAGGGGGCGCCAGCGTTGTGACTTCTCAGAAACATTTGGTATGCATGGCAAAGCTTGCAAAGAAGGTCATAGTCATATAATATAGTCCTGATATAGCAACCTTTCAACCTTTATGCCATATGCCTCTGCCATGTTCTAGGTCTGTCAAAGCTATCAATGCGGATTTGGAGTTGCTTGACAAGGACTATGCCACACTGAGTGAACACATGGCCAAGGGTGAGCGGGACAACTTCAACGCAGAGTAGCTGGGACTCTTTTTTTGGGCGGGGCGTGGTACTGTTGGCACGCAGTGGTAGGTTTGCGTGCAACGCAGGGATGTTCGATCTATACAACATATCATTCTACACCTCGTTAGTTGGGACCAACCGACCTTTGTTTTTAGATTTGTGATTCCAGGTAATTTTGATCATGAACAAACAAATCTGAGGTGGAACAAGGACACGGAAGCCGTGATGAAGAGTTCGACTTTCACGTGCCTAGATTGCAACATCAAAAAGACAACCTATGACCAACCTGTGAAGCTTCCTTATGCGCCAAATTGTTTGCCACCTTCGCTTGACCAAAGTCACCACTTCATGAAAGGTGCTCAAAGATCCTGCAGAATGAGGCCAAGATTCGGCTCGGTGCTCAAATACTTCACTGCCTCCATGGTACCAAATGCACACCTGAGCCAAATGTACATGAATAAAATGTGTCTTGGACCTAGGAGTGCCAAACGACATTTCCCGAAATTGATCAAGGAAGAGCCTGCCAAGAAGTGAGGGCCAAATCTTTTCCCAGTTTTGAGGGGCTGTCAGGTCTGAAAGGATCTGCTTGTGTGCATTAATCTGTCTGCAGGTACGCGGGGTTCCAGCAGGCTTTGCATCCCAGTTCAGGGACTACCATAAAGCTTACATGTTGATAGTTCAAAACCGTTTGATGCCCTTTGTGTTGGTGCTATGTCGTATGGTGGGATGCGGAGGGCCTCTGGTGAAATCAAAATATATAGTATCTCCGATTTGAAGCTTTTAGATCTGAGAAAGGGATGGAAAAACAACCTTGCATGTATCCCTTTTCGGTTGTGGCCATTGCTGTACGGGTTACGTCATGAGAGTTGATTGGGCGCGATGTATTGAAGGATTCAGTTTTTTCCCTGAATACTTCCTTGGGCAAGGGAACAGTGTTTCATGGTGGATGTGCCAGGTACAGCTGGAGCAACTTCGAAGCGCTTTGCTGCCAATGTTGGCCAAGGAGCCGCAAACTCAGAAGTACCATTGCAGGGTAGCCATGGCCAATACAAAACGCAACTCTTGGAGTCTTGGTGGCTCCCTGTGCCTTGATTCCAACACTTTGGCTCCCAAGTTAATCCCATTTGCTGACTGTTTCTGGTTTCCTAATCCTGAGCACCCTGAAGATAATTTCAATCAAAACACACAAATTAAATCGCTTTGGTGACAGCCAACTATGTTTTTGAATGGAACTTGGCCATGGTAAGTCCTGATTGCCCATTCTGGAGCTAGTAATTCTCACGAACCTCCAGCTGCAAATCGGCCATGTGGTTTGCTTTGTCCTTCAGCACCTGGTCACTTTCTATGTCATGGTTCTTTTTTGCCTGAACAAATTTGATAAAGCTGCCATAATCTTGGTTTGATGTATCCATTGCATCACAACCCCTTCCTTGGTGGTTGGTTTCTCACCCTGAACCTCCATTTCAGGATTGACTTTGACATCTTATACCACCTTCCAAAAACCTGGTAGTGTCAAACCTGATGGAAAAATAGCCTTTGCTTCAACCAGAATTATCGATCCCTAGATACAGGTCAATTTGAGTGAGATTGGGTCTTCATTTCTTCAGTGCCATGAATCAGCACGCACGCGTGTGTACTTACAGTAACTGTGTGTATAATCTCTCTTACACCTCCCAGGTATTTGATGCAATAACATCTGGACAGCTTGGGGCTCTTTGGGGTCCAAGATCACCTAGGGGTTATCACGCAGTAAAGGTATGGAGATCGATAGCAAGATAAGATCGATGCGATTGGAAATTCTTGAAGAGTGAGTGTGTGTGTAAAGACAGGTTCGTTCCCTGTCTAGCGTTTCCTAGCACTGGGAAACGTGCTGAATCCATGAACCATTCCTTTGCAATGACGGCTTGCTTGCTTTGATTGGCACGCAACGCCATTAGCGCCATTGACCATGCCTAGTGAACTAGGTGGACATATCAATGCTTACCGCATCAAATGATCAATCCCTTTGATTCAACCCAATTGGTCACAAAGACAATTCTGGTCTTCCGAGGCCAGCTGCAAAAGCCAGATCCTGACAGCGAAGGCCGTTGTTGAGGATGTTGGAGAAGTTCCGGCAGCCAAGTGTGGGATGGATCGGTGGTCCAACTGCTCACTGAAAAATTCAGAGCGAGATGCTCAGATGGTGATGACAGTTCAAAAGACAAAGTTGGACGTTCCTGTGAGTCATCTTGTTTTCAATGGTATGTCAATCCCATGGATCGATCCCCGGGATTGGGCCCGATGGATTCTGAAAATGGGTCTTTGGCCTACCCTCTCCGGGGCACAGCGCAATGACTATGTTTCCTGCGAGGGGATCTGGAAACAATTCTGGCAGCAGTACAGGGAACTATGCCCAGACTTCTCTTTGTTTAGGATGGAGGGTATAGATCTTGGGAAGACTGCTGGCATTTGCCTTCATGGCGATGAAGGGACAACCCTCAAGCGTCAGGGAATAATGGTGTGCAACATGCAAAGCATTCTCGGCCGTGGTTTTGACGACAAACGTGTGCCCAGGGTGGATGACCAGGGCGTGTGGCAAATGAGAGTGAACTTCACAGGACACACGCATACGCACCGGCTGCTACTTGCGTGCATACCCAAGAAGTTGTACGAGACGGACTCCTCTGTTTTCCATTTTGTGATGGAACAAATTTCATTGGCATTCAAAGAGCTGCTTACATCTGGACTACAAGATCCAGTGACAAAAGAAGTTGTCAGATTTGCTGTGATTTGCGCCAAGGGGGATGCTCCATTCTTGAGCAAGCTGGGGGGCTTGTTCCGGTCTTTCAATACATTTGCAAAACGGGGTGACGCGCGCCGCCCACCAAAAGGAGTATGCCATCGATGCTTAGCTGGCACGATTGGCTTTCCAGCCGAGGAGCTTGCAACGAGGCAACCACGTTGGCTAGACACCAGGGGCGTCAAAATGCCCTGGATCCGAACCCCAGCAGTGATCCTGCACTTGCCACACGATGAACATGATCCAAGTTCGTTCTTTGCCTCAGACTGCTTTCACATTTTTCATCTTGGTATTGGCAAATCCTGGATTTGTTCGGTGGTCATGCTACTTCTTGAAGTCTTGCCTGGGACGAATATCGATCTACAGTATGAATACTTGTCGACAAGCTACCTTGGCTGGTGCAAGAGGAATAAGCAGCAATCGCATGTGCATGCGCTTACGCAGTACCTCATGAGTCACAATGACCACACAGGTCTGGCAGGAAACTGGCACAAGGGTGCCCTCACGACAAGCCTTATGCGTTTTTTGACGGACTTCATCCCACAGCTTCAGTCGGACCAAAGACAGTTGTTGCCCAGGTGCTTGCAAGCAAGCAAAGCTGTGAACAAAATGTGGTCTGTTCTGTTCCGCGCTGCCGCGTTCCTGACAAAGGATGAGTGTACAGAGGTGGCTGATGCTGGGTTCCTCTTCCTGGCCACGTATGCCAAGATGGCATCGATCCAATACCAGTTGGGAAAGCCTCATGCGTTTCCACTGTACCCGAAACTCCACGCCCTGGCCGAAATCCTTTCCACAGTCTACTATGACTCTTTGAGGGTTGGCTTTGCTCTAAACCCCATTTGTCATTCATGTCAGATGGATGAGGATTCAACTGGGCGGACCGCAAGATTGTCCCGGCATGTGAACTCACGCAGGGTGATGGCACGAACTATCGATCGGTGGCTGGTGGGTGCATGTGCAGCCTTCAGAGACGCAGGACTTCTCATTTAGGCAAAGGAAAAAGGTGTGCTGGATGGGAGAGTTGTGCAGGATTATATCGTGGGAACAAAGACATGATGGATTTACACTTTCTGAAAACCTATGTTTTATATAGAAACCTGTCTTTTTCCCTCCGACCAGAAAAAAGAAGGTTGCTGAGGCTATAGGTATATATAATCATGAGTCATTGAAAGGTATGGGGGCCAAGGACCTGTACTTGGTTACTTCATGATACTTCAAGTACAGTCATTCATTATTCCAATGTACGAGTCGGGTCCAGGTGCCACCCATTCGAAGGGTTGGCCGATCTCCCGTCTCGCTTTTCGGAAGCCACCGCCCAAACATACGTCGGGTCCGAGGAAGGGAAGCGTCACAGGGGCGCAGGAGTGCAGAACCTCCCACCATCACCATGCCCTAGGGATCCGTTTTCGTACCTTCTCCTCAGGTTCGGTACGACTGGACCCGACAATGACACCTATACATGACAGTGTCGAACACATCACCGTACCTGAGGTTCGGTACCCCTGGATCCCCACAGCATGGGAGTCCTATAGCTCGTCCATCGGGGTCGGGGCGGGTTCGCGGGTCTTCTTGTTCTCGGTGCAGAAGGCGCCCCATCCCGGATCCAATTCGGGAGTTGTTCGGTCCACTGGGGGTGCCTGGGCCAGACGTCGCACCAGCAGGGTGTTCAAGTCCTCATGAGTTTGGGATTCTGAGCGTATACAGATATGGGTCTCCCGCAGCTGCAGCGAAGAATCGATATGTTTGAGGCTTCGCCCCCGTAACGCTGCCCTCGCTGCCCTCGGGCGTCATGACCCGCGCCTTCGAGTCCTTGGGGTGGTCCTTGGGGTACTTGATGTGCTTGGGATGCCCAGGTTATTGCCCGGACCTTCGCACCTACAAGAGGTCGGCTCCAGGCTACTCCATGGGGCCTGGCAGCCCGATGTCCCCGATGGGTGACCGGGTTCCAACTGACCTCCTGAGCTTTTAGTGCTTCAGATGGGTTTAGAGGATCTAAGTCGAAGCCCAGGGCTAGGTATTCTATGGTATATTCTTATGTATTCTTGATGTGTTTCCGGGAAGGGGGATGATTCACTGATTCTTCCAGATCTCCGATGGGGCTTAGCTGCTTGGAGCAGCTTGGACGACTGATGGCAGATGGTGGAACTTCTGGTGATTCAGCCCTTTGAGTGAGCCAAATCTATGCTGCCAACTCTATGGTTTGTGTAAGCTACATTGGTATTGAAGCATCCCCTCAGATGTGACAGTATTCTGATGGAATTGGCAGCTTACGGTCCATGTAACTCGGCTGCAATGGGCGCCCACTACAGATGCAGAAACCCCCAATGGTTAAAACTACATGCAGCACTGCTTCACCTGAGAAATCGACTTTGGTCTGCGGGTGCTTTGTGTGAGAGGGGACACCTGTGTCGATGGTAGAGCGACTGTGCAGCAGACTAAATAGTCACGGAGCAATATGTTGAATGCAGGCCATACCATAAACCGGGAGCAAAGAGCTTCGCCACAAAGGTTGCTGAAGGATTCATCTACTAGTTTACCCCAAACACTCCAAAAGACATCTTGGGCTTTGTGGCATCTACCCTGCAACCTTTGCAGCCGAAAGAGTGCCCAGGACCATGGACATCGCCATGACTCATCCATGTTCACCCCTGGCTCTCCTAGGCTGCGCACCTCCAGCGCGCACCTTGCAGTGCAGACGACCCCAAAAGTGGGACTGGAGACTCAGAGGTGGTGGGGTCAAGACGGCGAACGCCCAGTGGAGCCTGCGACCAAGAGAGGCGACCAACAACGTGACCTTATAGAAAGGACCCGTAGCCTGCGGTATGTACCCACCCTGGTGACATCAATCTCTGGACCCTTGTGACATCAGTCTCTGGACCTCAGGACTTTCTAGATCGGTTCTTCAACCTCTGGACCCCTGGTCATGTACCCATATATAGGGTTCTTCAACCTCAGACTTTCTCACAGATGCGACTCATGAGCCCGATGGTTTCTGGTGAGGTTCTTTGTGTAAAAGACCTACCGACCTACCAATGGCTGGCCATGAAACGGGTTGGCTCTTGTCAACCACAGGGTTTGGTGCAGGGTCATGTGATTTTCAGTTGGCTTCATCCAACGAGTTCGATGCTCCGGCCGGGGGGGGGGCCCTGGCTTCAGGATGTTTCATGGGACACCACCCTCACATCCGCTTTCGCGCTCTCCGTGCACTCGGACTGTGGCCGTCATGCGGCTGCAGACTGCAGGCCCTGGAGCATATCCCACGCACTGTGCAGAACACCTGCGGAGCAGATCGAACAGCAAAACAGGTACCGAAGCGCAGTTGTTTGGGATGCTTTTCATGACTGCCAGGAGGCCAAGAGCCCCATTGTTGTTCCAGAGTCGATCTGGAAGTGGAGGACATGCAGACATCCAGTCTAGACTCTAGACTGGGGTGCTTGGGAAAATGCAAGTCAACGTATAAAAACATTGGTTATCATCAGTTCCTCTACGAGCCAATGTGTTTTTACTGTAAGTGCACCTTGTGCGTTATATTTCCCAAGCGCGGAGGTTGTGGCAGCCAGACTGGACAAGCACAAAGAATACACAGAAAATATATATATATACTCAGGTGCTGATTCATCTTTGTAGGGAAACTACTTGCACATATATAGTATAGTACGTCTTTTTGAATATCACTTCAAATTGCCTGGGCAGACCAACCAATGTGATGTTTTCTTTGTGCCTGAGGCCAAAGAATGCTCAAGAATCCCATGCCATGAGCCTTGATCAATCCAGGAATTCCCATTAGATATTCCAACGCAATTGCGGGTTTTGTGGCTTTGCTATGCTTTGCTCGCGGTCCGTTGTAGTGTTTTTGGTCACTACTAGGGACATGGAAGCAATCAATCTTGCGCAAGAAGATCCATCAATGTTCATGGCCTGGAAGTCGATCATCTACTTGACAAGTAAAAGATGAAGAGGGATTCCTCTTTCGAAGGCAACCTCTCCCTGCTTGAAGGCAACTTCTGGAACATTCATGAACACCATGACACCTAATTCTCATTTGTTGCAGACCTCCGGAGCAAATCCGAGACAACCTATACTGTATATCATCCAATTATCCGTGTGAGCAACCATCCGTGCCAGGCCCTCGTTATAGCATGCCCCGTGCAGAACGCTGCCCGGCTGAACTTCTGTTTGAGCGAGGGATTTTTTCCGCTACAGCCTAGCACTTGAGAAGGGGGGAAGGCTGCACACGGTACAATTCATGGAATTGTCATGGAAGTGGACCAGGCGCGTGTTTGTAGAACATGGTCTTCCAAGCGGCGCCATCCACATAACCATGCGAAATCCGAGAAGAGCATCGCGAGCCTTCACAGGGAGCCTTCCCCCCACACCGAATGTAGGCGCGGTCGTTTCGCACGCCGCTCACGCTAGGTTGGCCGAGGCCACGGAGTGCTCCGAATCTCAGGCGGCCTCGTCGGCGGCGTCGTGAGGGACGGAGACTCAGAGAGGTTCCGGATTTCTCGGCCGGACTTACCACCCCAAAACAGCAAGGGATGCACTGGTGTTGAGAATCTTCGAATTTAAGCCTGAGTGGGGGCGGAGGAAATCTCCTGAGCCCTGCATGTGCTTGCACCCTAGAAAGGATGGGACCCGCACCAAAAAGTAAGCAAAGCCGCGGTGATCAACCGCATCGCGGATGCAATAACCTAGGCAAGTGCAAGCTAGACAGGCTGGACATGGAATAAACACACGACACACCAAGCCACCAGACCCCAGGCCAAGAGATTTGCAGTGTTGGATCCATTTGTTGGGCACTCCGTATGGCCCACCTCAGTCGGTCAGGTGGTTGGGGTGCGTGGTCAAGCGAGGGTTTGTCCCTACGGTGGATTCTTGTTCAACCCGTGTTTGGAAGGATGTTTCACCCGCTGACATGTAATTTTTTGGAAGGAAGTGAGCTGAAACCACCAACCAATCATTTGTTGTTATCGGTTTTGGTGGTTTGGAGCATCTATAGGACGCATGGATAAGTTTGGATCCATCCACCAAGCATGTCTTCCCTCGCAGTTCAAGTGCCCTTAATGTTTGATCTGCAGATGAACGAAACAGCGGTCCACCGGTCAATCCCTCATGTCCCCGGTGGATCCCAGGGTTTCTAGGTCTAAAGTTTTAGTCTTGGGAACCACTGGTTGCCAGCTATAGTATATATAGTAACTGGATGCAATGGGGTCAGCAAGTTCTTTTGTTTTCAACAACTGTATTTGTCAACAGCACCGAAAGGAAAGGGACGTTGCCGCACCCTCGGTCGCAGGAAGCCTGCGCCAGCCGGCTGAGAGCAAGCTGGGTGATGTCTCCGAGTGTATATATGGTGGGCCCAGCCTTGTTGAAACAAGGTTGACCTGCACCTGGACACGGTTACATTTAGCATCATTTAGTTACGCCAAGAGCATCCCAACTTGAACTGGAGCAACATTAATTGTTGCCTTGTTCGTTTGAAAGCTTGCAGTGGCTTTTGGTGAACATTCAGGTCCATAATCCCAAATGCAACCTGGCTCCGCTCTGACTGGGCCGAAGCAGGCCGGCAGCCATCTCGTGAGGATCTCTGAAGAACAGAGACAAGCAGGATTCCATCGACCAAAATGAACATGAATGCAACAGGGCTGTGGGATCTCATGTGAATATGTGTATATGTTTCTTGGTGGAAGCATGTTTCAAAACCAAACGTCTCCAAAGACTATTCTTTCTGGTCATTCTCGTGCCCTTTGAAAGCATCTTTCCAACAGAGCCTCAAGAACCCCAAAAACAGACCGGGTCCCAGGTCAGTACGCCAGGTTTCTTTTTTTTCAGGTCACGTATAGTCAGTCACCTCTCATAGGGGCCATCGCTTCCTAGCGAAGACGTGACTCTGCCGGGAGGGCGATCGGCACAAAAACAGTCATTTGGAATGATTCGGACACATATAGCTTTCCAAGACAAGTGCTTGGTATCCCAGAACCAGATCTTTTGGGGGAAGGCCCTTCAGGAAGTTTTGTAGAGCAATGCCATATAAATGTCGCATAATGTCGCATTAACTTTTTTGCAACATCCCATTTGAGCAGGTGAGATGTCCTGTAAGAAGCACCAGAAACAGGATGGACCAGGAAACAAAGATATGGGTCCAGGCATTTGGACACCATCCCAGTTCTTGTCTTTTGACTGGTCCGTGGATGCTCCATGGATGCTCCAATCTTTGGGATCCACGTGGGCCATTGGCCCCCTTGCACCACCTCCCCCACCCCGCCGCCGTGTCGCCAGCGACGGCTGCGTAGAGAGACGGAGACGATCGGAACTCCACCTGTGCCCCCGCGAGCGATGCCCGCTGGAAGACCCAGTCAGGGCAGAACTCGTCGGACGGAGAGTGTGGTGCAAGCTTTTGAGGACGTGGTCTTAGTTGTGATCTTTGGTGTTCTTGGTGTTTGTTTTTTCATGAGGGATGGGATGCGTCTTGTATTGAAAACAGAGGCAACCTCAGAAAGGATTCACTTCTCATGCTAGCTCACCTGTATGGCCTTCAGAGTGCCACAGAGTCATTTGAGTTTGTTTTGATATGGTGTTGTTCGCAACATGGGCCTCTAGGCGGTGCAACTTGAGTGGTGATTGTTGTGGTTGTTTGGCTGCGGGTGTCCTTGCCAAGCCCCAAGTAGTATGTCACCGTATGCTTTGTTCACTTGCTTTCGAAACAAGCTCTGGGTGCTGCTGGCGTGCAGGCCCCCTTCACTGTCATGGGTCCCTGGACGTGTTGGGTGAAAAATGTGGCGAATCGCCCAGGGTCGTGGGTTGATCGCCCGAGGTCGAATCCAAGAAGACGAAGACTAAGACGCTGGGCATGGACTAAGGGACTGCCCTGGAAGAAGTGGGAAGACATCGCGTGCCTGGAAATCGCTGGAAATAAGCATTTGGATAGTGAAAGATAGATGCAAGAGGGACTGCCGTGGAAGAAAGGATCTGGTGGACAGTCCCTCATCGAATTGGGTTTGTTCTAGTACCATCACCACCCCTGAGAGGGCCTGGTCTCCAAAATAGTGTACACCCTCCCTCCAGCAAGCATGGTTTCATGGACAACCCCCTACGTGGTATTTTGATTGCACGGTCTTTCTGGGGGGACATGCCATCCACGCAAGCATGATTCTGGGAGGAGTGCAAAAAACCATCAAAAGAATGGTTGAGCTGGGTAAAGGCCACCCCAAAAAAAGGGCAAGTGTCAGACCCTCGGAGCCCCAGGAACCAACGCCAGTTGGGTCACTTGGGTCTTGGGGCGGTGAAGGGTAGCACAAGCGAGACGGCCAGTCAAGTAGCATTGCTTTGGCACACCTGAAATAATAATGATTATGTGGATGGCCTTTTGGAGGACCATTTTCGGAATACGAAAAAGGTGGTGAATTCCACTTTCAGGTTTGCTTCAAGGACTGTAAACACATGATATATTGGATGCATTGTATTTCCGTATCAATCACTGGTGTAAATACTGGGCATTTCTCCAGAGCTAACCTGTTTGCTAATTAGACGGGTGTTGAGTTTCGTTGTATACTGTCAAGTTTTTTATTTTCAGTTTCGCTTTTGTGGTGAAGTTCTTTTGATGTTATTGTTTCTTGTACGAGTTTTATTGGATCTTAGGTTTTCATGCCTGCCTGCAGCATTTCCAGGCTTGCGTGAAAACATGATTCCAGGGCCCTGCCGGCATGCAAGCACACATGTACTCTACGCAGACAAGCAGGACAGATACATAATAGAATACACGATGGTACATATATTACACCAATTATGCACATACCAGGACCTTCCAACAGGTGGAATTTGGACACCCCCTTTACCTCTATGAGGCTATTTATAGGCACCTTATGGATGGTCCTAGGTATTTGATACATATTGCAACCAGTTCGGGCCCCGGACTCCTGCCGAAGGGGTCAGATGGGTTCCCCAATTCACCAGACCCTCATCCCCAAGAGGCTCCAAGCCTCCTGAACCCCTTGGGGCTCCAACTGCCTTCTGAGAAGTTGTTTGGGTGGAAGCCAGGCAGGTCCTCCTCCCCTCCTGACGGTCTGGGCGCGGGCGCCGGCGCGTACACGTGCAGCTCCGCCGCAGGCACCGAGACTCCGAGGATGACGAGCCCAAGAAGAAGACGGTGAGCAAAAAGAAGGAGGCGAGACGCTGCGTGGATCGCAGTGGATACGCGGCATGATCCGAGACCCGAGATCCTAAGGTCTGTGTGATTCATATGGTTCGTGCACATCGGCGATGGTGGACGATTTCGATGGTGATCAACTGATCTCCTGGCAACAGCCAGTGATCGCCTTATTGGGTTGGATTTTGTGGTTGATGCTTTGGATGATGACTTGATTTGTTGCACCTCTTCACTTTCCGGATGCCGGGAGTGCCGCCATGATTCAATGGAGAATTGATGCTAAGACGCCCCAACAAGCTGCGACTACTAATGGTTCCTTATGAACCGTAAGAAAGGAGATTTGAGGGCTACCAATCCTTTCGTGACCCCTTTTGGAGAGTCCTGAGCCTGCCTTCTTCCGCAATTCTCATCCACCACCTGCCCCCAGACCCGACGGCGTCAGGTGGAGAGCAAGACCAAGAAGTCCAAGCGCGACGAGTCCCCGGAGCCGCCGAAGAAGAAGGCGGTCTCCAGGAAGAAGGACCTAGCCGACCGGGCGCCCGGTCCTCTCCCCTGCCTTCGGTTCGGGACTGGGGTGGGTGGTTTTGGGGGGTCGGGCTGACCGGTCACCTGAGGAGATGAGCCGCTAGCCCTAGGATGTGACGAGACTCGATCTGGAGACGTGGCTTGCAGTGGTCCAAAGGGATTCATATTTGGTGACGTTGGTTTTCCTGGCACGTGGCATCACATGACTGGTGTAGTTATAGAAGTTCCAGAAGTGGTCACCACAAGTTCCACAAGTTCGTTGTTGTTATATAGTTCCATCCAGTGAGTGGACGGACCATGGGCACCCCCAGCCTCTCCAAGAGACACCCCGGCCGAACTGCTGGGCTGACCGTCTAGTTCAACCGAACTTCGGTGAAGTGGAGCTGCTCGCACCTCGCACCCTGGCACCTGCATCGCACATCGTGGTGGTGTCAGCATCTCCCTTGGTCACATCCTTTCCCCGACCATGTATGCCATGCCTACATTGGGGTGGTTTGCGGGGTCAATGTAAGGATATTTTCCATACATGGAGTGTATGGGTGAGTGTTGATGAACTGTTTGAGTTTGTTACTGCGACTATTGCTGCTGTTGCAAATGTGCAGTGCTCGTGCAGGGCTGGGCCAATCTGTTGAAGAGTGAGCATGAATTCATGCCCTTTTTACCCATAGATTTAGGCGGTGAGTTAGATAAGTATGCCAACCAGGACCCTCCTGTCGGGGTGTCCAATGAACTACCCCACACTACCTATAGGCTTCCAGACAGGGCACCCTGACAGGAGGGTGGAAGGTGGGGAGAAACCGGCCTTCACGGCGGCCCAGCCCAGGGCTGAAACGTCAACCACCCCACCGCTGAACGTCAACCACCGGTGATGGGGGACCGAACTCAGGTGTAACCACCTGACCGTTACACCAAAGAGACGAAGACGAGAGGGTTGGGTTCCGATGGTTTGACCCAAAACACCACTGCGCACCGTCCCAAAATGCTCTTTTTGAACCCGGCTTTTGGATTTGGACCTGCTCGTGCAGGACGAAGAAACGCCCAAAAAGAAGGCGCTCCGACCACGCCGTAGCTGCGCGCAGGGATCCACTGCCGTCTTCTCAGAAGGAAGACCCTACTGGCGCCTACATCAAAGTAGTTGAACACAGAAAAGCCTACATAAAAGTGTCCTGCGTGGAGGGAATTTGGGGCCAACCATGGCCAATGAATGAGCTTTGAAGCACGCCACCAAGGTCGTTCACGGCACAAAATGCTGAAGATTTTCAAATGACTCATTGAGTTCAAAACCCTTTTACGGTGTTTTCACCATACAGTCACACTCCACATGATGTTTGAACTAGGTTCACTATATAGATTCCTCCTTTTTTTCAGCTCGAATTCCCCCCTCCAATCTTTGGGCCAAAACGACATCGCTTTGTTATGAACTGGGGCGATATTCCGATTTCTTCTGCGGCTGGCACCCAGCACCCAGCAGCCGCACCTGCCCGACCTCCACCTCAACGCGATCGCTCCGTTGCTCGTCGCGACAGGGCTCCATGCTCCGTTCGTGTGTTCGATCGCTCCCCAGGAGCCGGAACGGCCCAAGGGGAAAGAGCGGGACGGCAAGGACCGCCTTCGCCTCGCAGAGAGCGCCGGAACGAGAAGTCGACGCACGGACGAGAGACCGGCGGTACGGCCGGCGGTGGGTGTGGTGGGTGTGGGAGCTGCAACCGTATAGAGGGTGTGAGTGGGTGGGTGTGAGTGGGTGGGTGAGTTTTCTTATTTTTATTTTTCTGAG